GCAATTAATCTGTCAACATCCAAAATCAATTCATCCTATTTCTTCATTGTTACAGAGAATGGATGATGTTCTTTTCAATTGTAGTTGGATGTACGATAGATGTTATAGTGGTAGAAAAGTTCTGAAAGAGTCTTTTGTTATAGGGGTTAAAGAATTTGTTACATTTGCTCAACAATATGAGTATTACGAACGTGATGGGGGAATTCAATGTCCATGCACCAAATGCGATTGTACAAGAATTTTGAAGGATGAAATCGTCAAAGATCACCTCTACAAGCAAGGGTTCAAATCAAACCATTGGATTTAGACTGATCACGGAGAACTATGCCTGAAGTTGAAGATAATGTTTATGATAATTGTGTTGGTGGTTCAAGTATTGATGTACACATGACTCAACAAGACCAATTTATATCAATGCAAGACATGATGTACAATTCTCTCTGGAAACATCAATCATTTCAAGGACCCTAGTATGTTAACATAGAAGAGACACCAAATGACCCACCTCGACCCCCACCCTCTAGTAGTGATAAAGGGAAGGGGAAGGCGATATCAAAGAAAAAGAGACCACGTTACGTTTTGAAAGTGGTTTCCACAGATTTACCTTCCACATGCACTATACCTAGACCATCCATTACACCTACACCATCCATTGCACCTATATCATTCATACCTGTTGCACCCATACCATCACCATCCTTTATTATAGGACCTACACCATCCCCTTCACCCCTTATACCTATTGTACCCGCACCATCCACAACACCATCCACTTCTACTTTACCATCCATTGTTGCAGTTGTGGCACCACCCCTTTTCTAGTTGTGGCACCCGCCTCCTCTCTAGTTGTGGCACCCACCTCCTCTCCATCCCCTATTATGGGCTCAGGACCTTCCTCCTCTTAAGGTCAATCACCTACTACAGATGTTGATGCAAAGGTTGGAGAAGATGCTGCTGCTATCCATAATTGACCAATGATTGAACCTTATGGTCGAGGGTAATATTAAATTTCAATTCTCAAATATATATAATAACTAAGTTTTAATAATTTTCAACACATATGTAACTTCTATTACTTTTTGTTTGTAATTAGGTTTCTTCTGTCCAGAGTTGCATTACAAGCTATAACAAAGAGTATTAAACAACAATTTCTTTAGCCTTGGACCACATGGGGAGTGATACCTAATAGTGATAAGGAGTCATTTTTCAACATTTTAAGGTAACTTAATCTTGTGTACATAATTAATTATTAGAAGGAAGTTTAATGTTATTATTAATTTCCATTAATGTATATATCTATAAATATTGAATATATGTTTTGTAGTCATTTTTGTATAATGTGTATAACAATTTATACTTTTATAGATGAAGGTTCAGTGAAGAGTAGAGCATAAACATCAAATAAAGAAGAATTTTCATTCCAAAGCATCTCACAGACTTAGTGAGATGTTTAGGGATGCAAGAATTGTTGGTCAAAGACCAGACTGGATTGGAGATCACGTTTGGAGCAGCTTGCTAGCACATTGGAGCTCACTAATGTATCGGTTCAAATGTGCAAAAGCCCAAAAAAATAGGGCATCTAAAAAGGGTGGGAGCTTGCACACAGGTGGCTCTATCAGCACACATGAGCATGCCATGCGTATGGTAAGTCTTGTAATCATACATTTAGGATTTTGAAATATTTACTTGGTTTTATATCTCAAATTGTTTATGTAATATAGGCAAAAAAGCTTGGAAGATTAGTTTTTATTGATGAAATCTTCCAACAGACTCATATTAGGAGGAAAACAGGTCAATTTGTTAATGAAAGATCTTGGAAGACACACGTGAGTACCTTCACTTTAAACTTTGTATATCATGTTATGTAAAGTTAATAATCATGTTAATAATTTATTTGTTTGTACTAATAGAAGGAATTTGAAACTAGACTTTCACAAGTTAAAGGAAGAATTTGAAACTAAACTTTCACAAGCTAAGTCATCTGTTGGATCTTGTGTTAGGGAAACTGAGTCCACTCCTGCTGACTCTGGACCTGATGAACTTATAAGGTCCCGTTGTTGAGTGGACACAGTTGGAGGTAAGAATAAAGGAAGATTGTATGGGGCTGGAGAACTTGCTCATGGTTATCAGGATGGTTCTGATAGCTTGAAGCATCAAACTCAAGCATCCAGCTCCTCATTTGACTTAGAAGAGATGAATTGATTGAGAGAACGAGTGTCTGCATAAGAAGAAGAAATTCGTCGAACAAGAGAGCACAACGAATGACTAGAGCACCAATTTAGAGTGTTTTAATCCCTTGTCGTTCAATTTCTATCCTTCGATGCACAATCTCTTATTCAGCAGCACCAACATAGTCAAACAGATACTGAAGAACAACCCCAACAACAAGAAGTGAATGAAAAACAATAAGATAACCCACCACAGGAAGAGAACATACTAAAACATTATTCTCCTGATTATTCTCACTATTAAATGTTATACAAACATCTATACAATAATATTTCAATTCTACTTGTATGTTGATCCTCTTTTTAGGATTATACATTATGTTTCATTATGCATAAATTACAGTATATTTGAATTTACTTGTTATTAACTTGAGTTAGATTTATATTTAATTGATGGTTGAATAGATTATTGAATTGGACTGGATCAATTGGACTGTCTTTTATAGGTTATATGGCAAGAGACAAAAATATAATGCCTCTAAAAGTATAGCCAGTTTTATCGATGGATTTGTCGATAGATTATCCGTCAGTAAGTTGTGTGAAAATAACACTGATAATTATCCACGGATATATCCGTCGGTAAGTCATTTGAAAATAAATCATATCAGACTTTATCGACAAATATCCGTCAGTAATTACATGACATTTACCGACGAATTAGAAAAATCTGTCGGTAAATGTCATGGGTAATTACCGATGGATATATCCGTCTATAGGACAGATTTTACTCACGAAAATATCCGTCGATAATTACCCACAACATTTTCCGATTGACTTGAAAAATTCATAGGTAAATTTTACCGACAAGACAATTTCCGACGAATTTATGATCGTCGATATTTTGTTAGTAATATTTATTTATCAACAAATTTTTTCACTTACCAACCAATTTTGTCCCTTGAAATTTTCAATTTTTCTTGTAATGTGCATCAAGTGTTATTTTATGTTCTAATTTTAATATTATATACTCTCACATGGTTGGTTCAATTGAATTGGTTATTGACTTCCAAATAGAAAATTGAACTGAATCAATTGGTTTTGAAAATTTTCAATAAAAAAAAATTGATTTTGATTGGTTACCAAATTTTTAGATAAGTTTTCTTTGTTACTTTGGATTAGTTTGGTTTTAAATACCCTTACCATTCTTATAACTCTTGTAAGACAAGGTAATTCCTAATGCTGTAATATGTTACTAGTGCATTCAAAACTAATTCTTTTAACCAACATGATTTCAAACTTTGAAATTTCTACAATATAACAATTAGACATCAAAATCAACATAACCCGCATATTGCTAGATCCAATTATAACATCTATTTAACTTGTTTATCACTTATCAATATAAAAGATGTTATATTATCCCATTTTAGTAAATAAATTTATCCATCAACACCAATACACATTATCTCAATAAATAATTGATAATCCATCTAAGTAAGGAATTCTAAATACAATTCTAATTCTAATTTTACAATAATATATATATATATTTATATAATTGAAGTCAAATTTGTCTCAGAACCAAAATCATAATTTCAAGAAAATTTCCAACCAGCAAGAATTATTCAATTTATCCAACCAAAACAAAATTTTGAACAGAAAGAAGATAACCATTCTCAAGAGAACTCGGAGAAAAAAACTCTATAAATAATTATTTTATATAATTAATAATATATCACACATTTATAACTTTACAGTAATGAAAACATGTTTTATATATTTTATTTTCAGTTTTAAATTTATTTTTATTTAATAGTAATAAATTTGGTTTAACAGTACATATTTATTTTAATTTTGTATTTCTAATTAATTTGATATATACTTATTATTTTGGTCTTAATTGTTTATATAAATATTATTTTTTATTAATTCAAGTTATATTAGATTTTATATTTCCCGGCTTTGAAATAAATATAAATATATGATTTTCTATATTTAAAGTTTTATTATATTTTTTATTATTTTTAAATTTTGAGACAAATTGGTTGAAATTAAAAAAGAACTCATGTAATATTACTAAAAAAATTTCATTTTTCATAAAAATATTTTTGTAAATTTTTTATAAAAATTACAAAAAATAAGTTTTATATAAATTTAAACAATTTTTTACAATAAAATTGACAGAAATAAATAGTTTTTTAGTAGCGTAAATTAGATTATTTTTATTAGCTTAATTTTTATAATTATGTTTATGAAATTAATTAAAATTTACATTTAGACCCATATTTAATTTAGACTTGAGAATATATAAATAGTTTAAACGTGTTGTTAACTTATATCAAGAAATTATTTTATTAATTTTTTAATTTAAAAAATATCTTTACATCTTCTATTTTTTTCTTGTTTTCAATTTTTAAAAAATTATAATTTTATAAACAATAATAAACTTCTTAAAATTGATGTTATTAAAAGTGTGAGATATTATTTATTTAAATCTTTAGTTTGTCACGTTTTAATTTAATGAATTAAAAATATATAATATATATATATATATATATATATATATATATATATATATATATATATATATATATATATAAACTACCAAATTTCACCCTGTTACGAGATTCATAAACATATATCATAACATATTATATTATATGTGACATTTTATATAATGGTTAAACAATTTGGTACAGTTTTATATTTAAATCTAATTTATATAAATACTCAAATGTTTTAAAATGTAATATTAATTTAACTTCAACTGTACAAGAGAACTAAAGTCTTCTTATATTCAGTCTACTTAGCAAAATAGTCTAGCAACGGACCATGGAGGTGTTCGACCCATCTTTCATCCAAGACCCCGAACACAGACCAAACGTTTGTACAATCCAAGCTGAAGAAATTCCTGTGATAGATCTCTCCCCAATAACCAACCACACAGCTTCAGATTCATATGCCCTTCAAGATTTAGTAAAGGAGATAGGGAGTGCATGCAAGGAGTGGGGTTTCTTCCAAGTAAAAAACCATGGGGTGCCATTCCCTCTGAGACAAAACATTGAGAAAGTCTCAAAAATGTTCTTTGCGCAGACTTTGGAGGAGAAGAGAAAGGTTAGCAAAGATGAGGACTCGCCCACTGGTTATCATGACACAGAGCACACCAAGAACATTAGGGACTGGAAAGAAGTGTTTGATTTTCTAGCCAAAGACCCCACTTTGGTTCCTCTCACTTCTGATGAACACGATGATCGACTTACTCAATGGACTAATCCATCACCTCAATACCCTCCACACTTCAAGTAATTCATCTTCACTATGTAATTATTATAAACTGCATGTCATATTCTGGTTCAAACAAAGTTGCACTTTCTTTTGGCTTTTCTTGTAATTCACCTTGTGAATATGAATATGGGTAGGGATATAATCGAAGAGTACGTTGAAGAGATGGAAAAGCTGTCCTTTAAGTTGATGGAGCTTATAGCTTTGAGTTTAGGCCTTGAAGCAAAAAAGTTTGAAGAATTTTTCATGAAAGATGAAACTAGCTCTATTAGACTGAACCACTATCCTCCATGCCCTTATCCTCACCTTGCTCTTGGCGTGGGTAGACACAAGGACCCCGGTGCCTTGACCATTCTTGCACAAGATGAGGTTGGAGGACTTGAAGTCAAACGTAGAGCAGATGAAGAGTGGATAACTGTTAAACCCATTCCAGATGCTTATATTATCAACATTGGTGATGTTGTTCAGGTACAAACTTCAGTACCAGTATAAGAACTGAGAATTAGAAATTTTTTACCTTTAATAATCTAGTTAGTAGAAACATACTCCACCTAACTGAGTCCCGAAAGTTAACGTGAAGGAGTATTCTAACCATATTCTAGTTTCTGGTAGGTTTGGAGCAATGATGCATATGAGAGTGTGGAACACAGAGTGGTGGTCAACTCTAAGAGAGAAAGATTTTCCATTCCATTCTTCTTCTTCCCTGCGCATGACACTGAGGTCAAACCTTTGGAGGAGCTGATAAATGACCAAAACCCTTCCAAATATATGCCATACAAATGGGGCAAGTTTATTGTCCACAGAGGGAACACCAATTTCAAGAAGCGAAATGAGGAGAACATTCAAATTTATCATTACAAGATAGCGTAAAGGACACTATGTTAGATGCACGCCAGCACCACTTAGCTTATGCAAGTAAATTGGGTATGATGTAATGATATGTAGCAGTGCGATCGAGTTTCCTACTGAACTTCCTATCTCCTATCTTATGTATGCAAGTATACTTAATAAAGAACTTATGGATACCATTTATCATGTTTATCTCATCCATAGAAAGAATAGCAATTTCAAACAAAATTAAGCTAGCTAGATTAGAAGATAGTATAATGGGTATGTCTTGAATCAGATTTGTCCAAGATAATGCTTCTGATATGTGACAGGAATTGAATTTGCATTAGAATTACCAGTTGCATTATATATAGAAGTTTATCAACCAATAAAAGAAAACTAAAACCATTTATCATGATCATCTCAAAACTGGATATTACATTACTCTTTACTAAATTTACTGTTTTGATATCTTTGGCTCCTTCGCTATCTTTTGGTTAGATTCTTGGAGACTTAAAACTATTTCTTTATTATAAAGTTGTTATTTTGCATCATAATTTGGTTAAATTAACTCGCATAAAACTACATTGCAGAAAGTAACGAACGTGTTTTTCCTTACTCTGTTTTGTGATGTTGAAGTACATGTACATCAAATCATAATTGATATTATCACACACGATTAAAGAATAGCGAGTATTCAAAAAATAGTTTGTGGAACTTTCGTGTATTGGCATTTTTGTTGAGCTGCTGAGTCTGAAGCCAACAAAATATGCGTTAGTTGTTGGCCTTTTGTTGGGGTGCTGAGTCTGAAGCCAATAAAATATGCATTAGTCGCAAGAATTTGGATGCATTTATCTATCAGTCAAATTTCAATCACTTTCAAAACGTTTTTTAAACAAAATAATCAACGCAAACAAAGCCATTTCTCGCTGCCGATCATCTCGTCCACTTTACTATGAAGAAATCCCATTATACTTTTGATTATCATCGTTCTTATCTTTCTTTTTAAATTCTGAAAAGCATACATTATCGTTTATTCAACGAAACTGAGAAGGACCCGTACGAAAGGGAGAAAATTTTTGAAGACAAAGGAAAAATGGATGTAAAACACCCAGAAAATAGCATGTTTGGAAATCCGTTTCAAACCTCTGAAAAGTATGACCAAAAGTAACAAAGGACTTTCTTCCGCGAACATATGTTCAAGACACATTTAAGGAGGCCGAAACCTAACTTCAAATAGATAGTGGAATAAATGATGTTTTCATAGCGGAGGTGAGGCAAAATAATGTTGAAGTCCATTACGAGATTGAAGACAAAGTTTTTGTCTATTCCTACTCTTGAGTCGGGTGGTTATGTTACGATATTATGCTTATAAGTTTTTTTTTTTTAAAATAAAATCGTAATAAATTAAAATTTTAAATAAGATAATACTTAATATATGATAATATACCCTAATTATATTATGACATCTGTTTTGGTGACTAAGTTTCCAAGAGTAAACTTACTTTTTGTTTCATTTCAAACTAAATTTCTAGGCAAAATTCAGTTTACAACCAAATTTAATTGAAAACCAAACAAAAATATTTTTTTTTTCCTTTTTTACCACTGAAAACCAAACCTAGCCTAGCCTTACTAGTACTATACAAATACAATACACATGGTAGCATATCAGAAACTGGCCAGGTTCAATGCACATAATCTCCCTTACATCTACTACACATAAAACGTTCTGTATCAGCAATCCCCGATCAAACATATAAAAATATAACAGCAACAACAAACATGGGAGAGGTAGACGCTGCTTTTGTTCAGGCACCAGAACACAGGCCAAAATCCTCCGTGATCGTGGCTGAAGGCATCCCTCTAATTGATCTCTCTCCCATAAACTACCAAATCGAAGACACTATCCCAGTTTCTTCTATCCAAAGCTTAATTAAAGAAATAGGCAGTGCATGCAAGGAGTGGGGTTTCTTTCAGGTGATCAATCACAAGGTGCCTTTGGCCAAACGAGAGAAGATTGAAGAGGCTGCAAGGAAGTTTTTTGCACTTAGTTTGGAAGAAAAGCTGAAGGTGAGAAGGGATGCAGTTAACGTATTGGGGTACTTTGAAGCAGAGCATACCAAGAATGTTAGGGACTGGAAAGAAATCTATGATTTCAATGTACTGCAACCCACTTTTATACCATCTTTAGTTGATTCAGATGATGAGCAAACTGTTTGGTTCAAATGGGATAACCGCTGGCCTCACAATCCTCCAGAGTTCAAGTAATTCAATACCCAGAATTTGATTAGGCAACAATACATTTCTGTTACTAAATTTGAGTTTAATTTATTGTTGAATTCAACCAACTTATACTCATTTGTGACTCAATGTGAATACATGTAGTTATAGATAGAATATATAAAAGTTTGGAAGAAACCTTTTAAAAGGGGCTTATCTTGAAGATAGTTATTCATTTGATAGATGATGGTGGTGGGATAAAGCTAGGTTATAATTGTTGCTGTTTAATAATATCCTTCTCTCTATGTTGTATTTGTTTTACAAGGGTGAGGATGAAATTTGTATCTAAACTCTTATCAATAGGTCAATCCTAGTGGATTATGTTGTATCTGGACTCTTAACAATTATACTAATAGCAAAATACTGATCTGATACCAGAGAAGCATGCCAAGAATATGCACAAGAAGTGGAGAAACTGGCTTATAAGTTGATGGAACTTGTTGCTCTGAGCTTAGGTTTAGTGCCAAACAGGTTTCGCAGCTACTTCACACATAACACCAGCAACATCCGACTCAATCATTATCCACCTTGCCCCTACCCTCATATGGCTCTTGGCCTTGGACGCCACAAGGACACAGGTGTTTTGACTGTGCTTGCTCAAGATGAAGTTGGTGGTCTAGAAGTTAGGAGAAAATCAGATGGAGAGTGGATTCGAGTCAAGCCCATTTTCAATTCCTTCATCATTAATGTTGGTGATATGATCCAGGTAACAAACCTTTGCTAATTTTTCTGAGGAGGACACAAATCCATTATTTATTAGTGAACTGAAATTCATCAAAATTTTCCTCCTTTTGTTTGAGGTTACTGATTTACGTTTTTCATTTAATATGTTTCAATTTAGTCTGTTCGGAGTAAGTGTTTAGTCTGATAAGTTTTAACTTATTCCGATAACTAGTTAAGTCCTGTCCTAAAACTTTGTTGACGTAGGTTTGGAGCAATGATGCTTATGAGAGTGTAGAGCACAGAGTTGTGGTGAACTCTGAGAAGGATAGGTTTTCAATTCCGTTCTTTCTGAAACCAGCACTCTACACTGATGTGATGCCCCTTGAAGAGTTGTTAGACGATAAAAACCCTCCTAAATATAGGCCAGTCAACTGGGGCAAGTTCCGCATTGCAAGAATGCGTAGTAATTTTGTCAAATCCAATGTTGAAAACCTCCAAATTTCTCATTTCAAGTTTCCCAGTAACTGAATCAGCGTCCACAAATTGAAGGGTGTACAAAATGTGAACTTGAAGTTTATCTTTTAAACACTACTAGTATCTTCATACAACCATATTTAAGAAATAATAACATTATCCATAACATAGAATGAATTCCCTAACTTAGAAAAATGGAACTGTGCAGTCTTAAAGAAGAGTGAATTAGCTAGAATGAATTATGATGTGTTTGGATAACCGTTTAAAGTTTTCTCAATAGAAAATCCTTTTCCTTATGCAACATACGAATAAAAGGAAAAGATCACGTTTCATTAAACTCAAACTGAGTTCCAAACATGCGCTTGGGCCGCATACACAACAATTTGATTATAACTATTTCTGTTCCCGAAGAAATTACAATAATAAATTATTTCGGTTAGTTGTGAACTTAAAAAAATTAAATAAAATAAGATTTACATGTAGAATCATTCCGATATTTAAATAAAAAAATAAAAAAAATATAAAAATATTTGAATGAGAATGGGATTATTTATATAAAATAGAGTAATCCTATTGTAATAAAATATTTTAGATAATAAAATATATTTATTTAAATACCAATAATTATTCATTAAATATAAATATAATAGCTTGTATAACTAAAAAGTTATATTAATTATACATTATTATTATTATTATTATTATTTTATTTAAATAGATTAATTAAAAAAATATTTTGTTAAACATAATAAATATAAAAATACATATAAGTAAGCTATTTATATGTGTGGTTTCAAGCTTCTTCTTTTTTTTATAATTATTTGGATGTTTACGTTATTTTTGGAAGCTCTACATTTCACTATTCTCTCCATTGAAAGTATATTTGTCTTCTATTGACTTCAAATAAAATATTATTATAACTATTTGATTAGGAAATGAGTTTGGATGGACTAAAGTTATTGCAAATGAAATATAATTTTTTGACAACTTTTTTTTTCCTTTCAAATGGCAATGCCCTATTATTCCATGTGAAAATTAACATTTCTTATTATAACAATCGAATAACTTGTACAATCATTTTCATGAAATAAAAAGTAACACTACATGCCCTCCTTAAATAATTTTATCTATCCCTTTCATAACTCATTATTTAATTTCACCATAGTGTGACTTAGAAAAGTATGATTCCTCATATAACCAAACCTTTATTGAAAGTGTGAGTTATTATCAAAGTCGTAAAAAATAATTTGTTGTCAATTAATTGAAAAAAGGAAAATTAAAGTCTTGGTAATAAAGTGGTACGAAGTACTTATGAACTTTACACTATAATATCAATAATTCACTCTTTGTCATTTTGTCTATTTGTTTTTTTTTTTTCCTCTTCATTTGCGTCAGTTTACTTAATGTTTGTTTTTTCTTTAGTGTATCATTAATTGATTATTATTTTATTGAAGAATATACACATTTGTGTGTGTGAAAGAGAGAGAGGAGGGTATGCTAGTTTGGTGGGACATTTCGATTTAAAAAAAAACAACAACAATTTTATTAGAAAAAGATGATGCAATAATAATTTAATATTTATTTATACTTGTTTAACAACTAAACGATAGAGGTATGTCTTTAAATAAATAAAAATTTGGAATATTTTTTATATGTTATATTCTTCTTACTCGTTATTTATTTAGTTAGAAATGAAATAAGAAAGAAAATTGGATAAAAATACTAATTTCTTATCATTCTTTAAGTTTATGTTTATTTCCATTAATTTATTAATTAAGCATATGTTAACAAGTGAGAACTATATTTGTTTCAAACGATATACGAGGATTTGAAGATACGAGGAGGAAATGATAGGATGAAAGTTCTTTTCAAAAGTGAGGAGATGACGAAGAAATATACGTCACCGTTTATAATTTTACGTAATTATCCTCTTTTTATTAATTTTACTGTTTGCATGACAGATACATGTATACAAGATTCCGTTCGTAACAAGAATTCTTTATCATGCAACACTACTATAGAATTACCTTTCTACGTCGGGTGAGGAAGGCATTCAACGTCGGTTACAATGACATCGTTAAATTAGGCGTCGTTGGATGTCAAAAGATTACATGTCGGTTCTGATAAACCATTGTTGAAAGTCTTGGAAATCCACGTTGGTTAACCAAGTATCCGTCGTAAAAACGAGTAAATTCTACGTCGGTTAATGCATTAACTGATGTTGAAAGGTATATACATCGTCGGTTAGTTCTATGACCGACATTGAGAGGAGGTATATACAACGTCAGTTAATGCACTAACCGACATTGTATATACCTTTCAACATCGGTTAGAGCATTAACCGACGTAGAATACCCCTTTTTTTGAAATAATGCTCTGTTTTTAGTCCTACCAACAGTATACAACCTGCTAATATCAATCATTGACAATATATATATATATATATATATATATATATATATATATATATATATATATATATATATCTAATAACTATATATTATTATATATAAAATGATAGGTATATATGTCAAAATCACCCAAATTATGTACAATACATAAAAAATTGTCAAACAATTTTATTCCTAACTACTTGGACAAACCTTTCTGCCTATTTGTTTCTAATCATGTCTATGGTTTCTGTAGGAAAATGTTCTATATCTTTAAATGCCTGTAAGAAGAAAACAAAAAGAATTGTAAACCCTATGTAATTAAAATAAAGGAATTGAATATAATAGCAAATGTCAACTTCCCTCATTCCAACTAGCCTGAATGCTACCAAAAATGATGACCCACATCTAGTACATTACGTAGTAGCCGCACTCGTATCCTCCATTTTGTTTGTTACACTAAAAATGACCAAATACATTGAAAGTAACTATTAAATTTGAACCTAAAATAGATAGTATAATATATAACGCTACTTACTTTGATAAAATTCCAATTTGGAGCGGTGCTTTTACTTGTTTGTTTTCCATCCAATGCACTACAAACCTTAAAACACTATATATTGAAAAGAAGAGGCTTAGAAATAGAATAATCAAGAGGTTTAGACAAAATATAATAAATACTTACTCGTTTACAATGTTTTTTAGCTCCATGTCAGGTTCTCTTCCCAATAAGTAGAACCAACACACAAGATTATGTTTTGGACAAATAACTAATAGCTGCCAATGATCTCTGTATATACACATGATTAGAATATATTAAAAAGGCTTGTGTAAAACCAGAAGAGGCTAGGATAACTTACGAATGATGGTATGCTCCAAGGTAAATTTCTCTCTTAGACTCAGTCATCCAATTCTGCATGTAACTGAGAATTTGATCACGCTTATTCCCAGACTTTTGTATGGATTGAGGCTCGAATAATCCATACACATGACCAATTCCCTGCTCCACTACCATTTCATGCATCATCCTAAAATATGCCAATTTAAGTGAACTTATACCTTAAATATTTAATAAAATGAAAAGAGTCATTAAAGATATGAACTTACAATGTCCAAAATTGTAAAACAGCTATATTTAGACATTGATTGCCCATCCCAATCTCCAGGGCATCAGTATGAGAAATGTATAGGGGGGCATTGCTAGAAGGCACCCCAAAGAATGTAGAATTCTATAGAACTTGGAATGATTGCATATACAAATGTGGGGAAAGAGCCAGCAGATCAAAAATTGGATTTGGTGAAGTCCCCACAACTGGTGTCTTCTCCTTAGATGCAGAAGGAGTGACAGTAGCTTTACCCAAGTCTATTGGCTGCTGAACATCTTACATATCTTGTAAAATATAAGTATAAACAATAAATCAATTTATTTATGTGTTAGATGTATTATAACCATACATATATAGACCTTTGGCATGATTAGCCTAACTAAATGTCGAGGCCAAGTAATGAAGGTCTCAAGGGCTTGCCCCACTGTCTGCACCTCTTCAGTGGGGATAGGGACACTAGCCTCAGCGTGAACCACCTCTTCAACCACTACTTTGACCAAGTTAGGATCCAAAGGCAAATTGTGGATGGTTGAAGCCCCTTCATGAACTGATCCATGGGCCACTAGTCTTAGACCCTGATCTACCTCAACCCACAAGCCACATCGATCCTCCTTTGTGGATGCAGGATGAATAGATGCCACCTCAGGTGTGACCTCGATAGTGGCTTCAACACAACTTCCCTTTGTGCTAACTCTTGGACCTACAAATAGAGTAAAATATAATAAGGACTAAGATTTTAGAAACACAAGTCAAGTACCAATTTGTGGCTGAAAATGCACCTGATTGAGGATGAACATCAGCAAATGAAGTACCCATGGAGGTCATACGCAGGAACTGCTCATGCACATGTGCAGTGATGACCTCCTGAAGTCATGTGTTGACGGTAGGAGTAAACTCTTCCTCCAATTTTGCCTTGATGGCTGGAAATAGACGGTCAAAATTCTTCCATTGGGGAGAATCAGATGGATGTCGCATTTGCCCATCATAGGTTTTTCCCTTTGAATGCCAAATTAAATTTTCAGCATCTTCGTGAGCGTACAACCGCTTAAATCTTGGAATTATTGGAAGATACCATAAAACGTTTGCAAGAGGACGTTTTTTATCACTCTCCTGACTACAATCATCACCATCCTTCGCTTTGTAACGTGATACACCACATGTTGGACATTGATATAAAGATGAGAATTATTTCCTGTATAACACACAGTCATTAGGGCAAGCATGTATCTTCCTGTATTCTAAACCCATTGGACAAAGTATCTTCTTCGCTTCATACATACGGTCTGGCAAGGTGTTATTGTCTAGGAGCATCTATTTCAAAAGTTGGAGTAATTCATTAAAACTTGTATCACTCCAACCAAAATTTTCTTTTAGATTGACCAATCTTAACACAGATGACAACCGTGTGAAAGTGGTACATCCGGGATACAAAGGTGTCTCTGAATCGGTCCTCAATGTATCATATACAACTGCATGTGCTTCAAGAAAGCTCTCCTGACCCGCATCACAAAGCATGTCCTCTATTCGATCTTCACAGGTCACATCATCCTCACCAGTT